CTTATCAGTCACTCTGAATACTGAGTGGACAACCCGAAAAGGAAACGGGATATTTCTTCGTAATCGCTGTAAAGAGCAGATTTATTGTGTCCTCTCGTCAGATTAGGAACCTCGATTTATCATAAACCATTTATCATAGCGTACTGGGCCGGTCCCAAAAGTACAAGTACATGGATAAAACATTGATGATTAATGTTATTATATATTTAGTTTCAAAGGACCTAGATTTTCATAAGCAAGCTGCTTTCAGCAAATTAGTTGAAAGAAGAGAGCTTTGAATCTAAACAGAACACAGACCAAAAGGCGGATTGGTGTCTTCCTTACATATAAGTCATGTAAGCAGTTTGTTTATTTTAGAAGAAAGTGCTATAGTAGTCCTTTTGACGCTTCCCCAAGTACCAAATATTCGCTCTGAGATTACCGTGAAATTGGTGCAATCCGAGGACGATAAGAAAATAAAGGGAAAGCTGCAGAAAAAAAAAAACAACTCCTACTTTAACATCGTTATTGCATTCATACCAAAGCATAGACAGAAGGCATCTTTAATAACGAAGAAAAGTACTGAGAATCTTTAACAAAACTAGCTGCTCCCATTTTTTTCTCGCCCTTTGAAAAAAAATTTCTAATGTAAAAACAGAACAATCAGTATGAATAACACTACCAAAAATCTTGCTAGAGATTTTTCGACAACACTTTAACCCTTTCCTAGAGGACTTGAGGAAGAGAGGCCCTGGGAAATAGTTTGTTAAACTAAAGCTTTCCTTCCCTGACTTTCCATTACGATCACTGCCGACTGATGCGAGTTTAGAAGTAAAATTTAAAATTTTGAATTCTACTTGATGTATTAACTGAATGCACGTATCAACGACTCATCAACGTGTTTTAGAATAAGGCAGATAGAGGATAAATGAATAAAGGGGGTAAGTTTCTAAAGGAACTGTGGTGCTGCGTCGGTGGGAGAGTAGAGCAGGTTATTCAGTGTTAATAACTGAGTTGAAAACATAAATTGGCCACCGTAAAGGGTAAAAATGCTGACCTTTCGAGCGTTAGCCCTTCGTCAGAGCGATTGGAGGAATTGTGGGTTATGTGTGGGTTTATATGCAGAATGTGGAGCTACGCTGTTGGTGGGAATATGGTGACGAGAAAACAGGAATAAATTAGTTAGTTGAATGAAAAGCGCTCGTTGATTCCGTGGGGATTAAGGGTGCCGATTTGGAAGATTTTTGTTCTAGTGTCTTGCAGCTTTCCGAGCTGCCTAGATGTAAGGAGAGGCCGCAAACTGCCATATGCTGTTTTGAATGATAAGGGAGATTAAAGTGTCTAGCGACTGGTTTGCATGCGTCCTTGTCATTTCTTTCCGCGTCGCGACACGGACACCAAATTTATTTCATGCAGTTTTCCCTGACGAATTTATCCCCTTCCCTGACTCCCGATGATCGAAAAAATAACTGAGAAAAAGGAAATACCGGTTATTAAACAGGGAGTGAGACCTGTCGCAGAAAAACCGTTTTCGAATAGAAGGAAACTTCCTGATAAAAATTAAAAGAAGACTTTCCATAAATAGTTGTAAAGATTTCAAAAGACATTCTTCTAGACATGTCTTTCACAAACTTCTATTCTTCACTTTTTCATCCAAAGATGCATTGTCAATTGAAGGAAAAGTTGCTTTTTTAAGAACCGCTTAGAATTCGTCAGTTTTGCTGGTCAAGCGAGATTTCAAAGGAGATATCCTATTAAGCTATTTCAGACCCTTAGTGACAGACAGCCAGACTATTACATGCCCAGGTCAGTCTAATCCTAAAATTCTGCATCATAGATACTCCTTATGTGTTTTGAGTTCTTGTTCGGCGCTGTTAGCCAGTTGTTAGCGATCCATTTCTCTCCTTTGATGACGTCACACCCGCCATGCAGTGAATAACGATCCACAGGTCCTAACATACCGCTCTCCGGGTCAATAAAATTGTTGTACCACATGATGGCGGTACCTTTCTTGGGAGGGATAACAAGATTGGCCATGTGACAGTTGACACTCAAGTTGAATTCGTCCGTGGTAGCGTTGTCACTCTCCAGGTCCTGCGTGTTATATTAAGGAGTGTCCAATAAATAATTTTCCTTTATTTGTATAAAAATTGCTATACATATATATAGGTACAACTAGGAAAAAATGTCTGATTTAGCGATTAAGTTTCAGAATTAATGTTATGAGAAGTGAATCACAGACTGAAAAGACAATTTGGATGGCATCTTGAGAGTGAAAGATGTATGGGGCAATGTAGCTGTGATAATCACACATGGGCACATGAAACTATATGCACTTGAATGTGCAATGATGGATCAATACATTTCAATTAAGTAACCAAGATAAACTATTATCCAGTTAATTTCACCCCCAAGGGTCCTGCCACTAACGGATTAGAGAGATACGAATAGAACAGAACTTAGGGAAAAATAATGAAATAATTCTCGCAGGTAAACTGGAACGTAATAAGTTGCAAACAAGAACGAGCATGAAATATTTCGCCACGCCCTCGACACGTGGCTTCGTTCCTCGGTTGGTAGTAGCGCTCAACTAGAAAACTGGAAGGCGCAAGCGCGGACCTTCGACGAATCCTGAATTTTTTCAAGCCTATATTTTGCAATTTTCTCAGTTGAAGTTCACCTGTGAGTATTATTTTTCATTATTTGACAAGTTAAAATGTCATACCTCTCTATAGAGGTGATCAAAAATTAAAGACACCCACCTGTGGTGTTACTGTGGAATTGTCTGCTAGCAGGAAAGCTGTTTCCCCTCCTTCCTCCACATCATTAAGGTAATAGAGAATGGTGATGAATCTGTGTGACAAAATATAAGAAATACTGAAGACGAGGGCCATGGTTGCAAGGTCTCTTATTAGTTACTGGGGGGTAGGACTCCGGTTAGTGGGGTCCGTGTTCGAGCCCTGACTTGGTCAGGCGGTTTGTTGTGCTTTCAGGTAAGATAAGATAATTGCAAAGTACCTGTTTCCACCCTACACTATAACTAGGCATCGAAAACTGTCAGGAAACCCAAGCACATGTTACAATTGGCGACAACCCTACGATGAACTATCGTCCGCTTCAGGGGCAATAGCAGTACTCATAGTCGCTTCATGCTATACTGAAACTGGTATAAGCTCTGGTTAGATTGATGATCCTCTCGGCGTATAAGTCGGTTTAACTCAGATTTGCTTACGCGTTTGCATTTCAGGCGTTTGAGATGATCTGTATTGCATTTACTGTCCTTTTGTCAGGAATAATTTTTACGGTTTTCCCCGAGTATTGGATGAAATAGTATCAAAACTCGATTAAATTATCATTGCTTGTTGGCAATTTTGTTGTTTGTTTTTTAGGTGTTATTGTTCTTGTGGTTGTTATTGTTTAGGTTTTCGTTTTTAGTCTGGGTATGAGTTGGTTAGCCCACCTCAGCCGCGCATGCATTGCTTGCTGATCGACATTTAGCAATACCTGCATATTCGGCAATCGTGATATCCAAAGTGATTCTGATGACAGCAAGGAATTGAAAAGTCTTGAGAAGGGTTGGAATCCAGGTGACCATGATAATGACCAAACGGATCGTACTGAACAACCTGCAGGACACGTGAAGAGACGTATTTCTACTATGCTCTGTCGTTAAGATAATCATGCAAAATAATCAACCAAAGCAGTCAGTACAATATTACAAGATATTAGTAACCTTGACCGAGTTACGATTAAAAACTTGATTGATTGAGAGAGAATGGCACGCAAGTTTTCTAGAGCAGGACAGTGAAGCAAAACAATGCACCCCTTTTCCTTTTTGTTTCCTTTTTCTTTCAATCGTCAGTTATTGGGAAGTATCTCAAAAATTAAACCGTGCACAGTTAGAGGTGTAGTGAATAAAGGGGGTTAATTTCTAAATAAACTATGGTGACAATAGGCCATTTCCGAATTACCTTTGGCCTCTTTTTCAAAACGAGGCTTGGTGCTCAATCATTCGTATGAAAATGAGATTAATTTGCATGTGAATGAAAACTCATAAGTATATGAAAGGTTGTATTGTATTTTGATTGTATTGAAGAACAGGTTGACTTTTGACTCAGCTTCGTATGATGAAGTGCAAATATCTGCTACGTCATCTGAATAACTCTCAAGTAAATGTTTTGATACCTGCATCCACTCGCCTGCTTGAATCACTTTTCGAGGCAACTGAGTTAACTTCTGAATTCTGTAGAAAAAGCGATGATCATGAATAGATGATATTCCAATAACATTTTTATTTATCATCAGACGATAGTTTAAATTCATTTTAATAAGAATCAGTTTATTCCCAAATAACAAGAGTCTCAGTCAGCCTCTGTAGAGCAGATTGATAACAAATGGTACTTAAGAGTGACTATCTGGTCCATATGGGAACACTCGCAATGAAAGGCAAACGCTATCATTTTTGATATTCCTAATATAAACGTCTTTAAGCTCAATAACGGGCTTTAGGGTATCTCCTTAACTCCATACACGAGCTCCTATGCATTTGTATACTTAAAGACTTTAGCGCTAATAAAATGTATATCAGTGCAATTGTAAAAACAATGATATGTATAAAAACAAGCAAAATGGGAAAATCATGTTTTACGTCGCATGCGCGGGGAAATAGGAGCATAATTCTCAAATTAAATGTGCTCAGCTGAGTAATCTTGATGCGAATGGGCCTTTTATCAGGATTAAAAAGCCAATTAAAACAAATCAAACCAATTCCTTGATAATTTTGATACTTGATCGAGAAATGCTCTTCTGTGATCGTGATCGTTTCCGGTCTACTAATCTCACCTTGCGAGCAGGCGCCTGAGGATTGGATCGGCGTTCCTGTCTTGTCGTAGCCAGGCCTGCTGGCTGTATCGAGGTCTATGGCGAGGACTTTTTTCTTTCAAGAAATCCATGTACCATAAGAGTTTCTTTATGTTCGTTTTTGCAAACGCTGCACGACTCATTTTACCTTGATTGATTGTGAAAAGAAAACAACGAACTTTAAGAGTCGATTTTTGAAGGTAAATACAACAGGTGTGGTGCAGTTATGATATATAGCTACAACACTCGGCACATTCACTTCCCGCCCTAATTGCTTCCTGTCTCAGTCGCCAGGCCCAGCAACAGTAATTGTTAACTTGCACTGGATAAAATAGGTGCAAGGGTCAGAAATATCCCCAGACCTCCATTAACGTTTTAAGGGAAGGTAGATGATGAGTCATTGTTAGATTTGACCAGTGATCGATGTTCATATTCCGTCTGTAAGGTTATCATGTTCATATTTTCAAGCTTATCAAAAGCTTTTCGCACGCATTCGATATTACATTAGCAACCTGGTTAAAGGATATTTCTTACCATCTTTTAGACTCTCTGACAATCCTATGCGTTTAAACCTACAACCAAAGAAAATGAGGTAAGTCTTTCTTTCATCTATAGAACCTGAGGAGATAAGGTAGTTCTTCGGATTTATAGTACAGGTGAGGATAATGGAGTGAGTTATGGCGGTTTTTACGACAAAATTTTAGATTTTAATTATAATAAATTATTACTTTTCTTCTTTTGGGATTCAGCAAGGTACCTATCAGTCAACACGCCTTAAAGCAAATATAGCATAGAAGAGTAAATTTCAACAAACAAACAAAGGATATATCACAAAGTAAACATTCTGAGGAAAATTCAACTCGGTCGTCGGCAAGGTACTTACATTGTTGGAACTTCATCCTCTCTCATGAACAGAAGTTTTCGTTTTTGGGCGAAATGCCTCACCTGTGGCATGACAGGACAACCAAGCATCAAAAATAAATAACAACAACAAAAAGAAAGATGGACTTCAAGGAAAAGCCTTTAAGAGATTAACATCAATACGTTTCAATGGATAATGTATTACTTTCCGTTATTTCATCTTGTTATTGTCCAATATTGTGTTATGTTATACTAAATCTTGTTGATGTGTTGTCGTAATACGTCTAGGTTTTTCATTCTGCACTGTGTGTTTCACTTTTTACTTCGCACATACCTCGTTTGCGTCGATGAATCCATCATTATTGACATCCCATAAATTGAATGCTTTGGCAAATCGTTCATCATGATCAAGTGTCCAGTTTGCATCTGTTGAAAAGTTCGCGTGTAGCTTCTAAATACAGTGTACAATTAATTTCCTTAAACTTCATTAAAATGTTGTTTAATTAAATTTTTGTCTTGGCCTGTTCTAAAACCACAACAATGCAAATCATGCTATTTGGGACATTTAGCAAGTTTCCAAGTCTAGCCAAGACACCCACGAGTCAAACTTCTAAGTCGTTCACGACTCAAACTTTTAAATCACTCGTGAGTCAGTCCTCTAAGTCGTTCATCGGTCAAACTTTTAAATCATTCATGCGTCAATCCTCTAAGTCGTTCATGAGTCAAACTCCTAAGTCTTTCACAAGTCAAACTTCTTAGGCGTCCACGAGTCAAGCTTCTACGTCGTTCACGAGTCAATCCACAAAGTCCTTCACGAGTCAAACTTCTAAGTCACTCACAAGTCAAACCTCTAAGTCGATCACGAGTCAAACTTTTAAGTCGTTCAAAAGTCAAACTTCTTAGTCATTCATAAGTCAAGCTTCTAAGTCATTCACGAGTCAATCCTCAAAGTCCTTCACAGGTCAAAATTCTAAGTTTTTCACGAGTCAAGCATCTGAGTCGTTCACGAGTCAATCCTCAAAGGCGTTCACGAGTCAAACTTCTAAGTTGTTCACGAGTCAAGCTTCTTGGTCGTTCACGAGTCAAGCTACTAAGTTGTTTACGAGTTACGAGTTACGAGACTTTATCACTAGTTTATTTGTTTTTGCCTTCTCAACTATTTACTTCTTTAATTCCCTCATGGAAAACTTGGTTATCAATAGAAAGAAAAGGGCAGTTTTACCGGCTTCTCTCATATCTTCATCTAAGTCTCCCTCGTAAGCAGCAACATCAAAGCCAGCTATACTCATGACAAGACCGCTTTCCTTTGCCAGTGAAATGATATGTTCACATTCTTCATCCGACAAGAAACGGGGAATCTCTGTTAAAGAATTAAAATCATAACATAATCCTTTTTCTCTCTCTTTTTTTTTTTGTAAGGGTGAAAAATGATCCTGGGAATGAACTTTTGATAGGAACAACTTGAGGCAGAACTCACCAAAAAGCAAGGGCTTCATGGCTCTTGTGATCATTTTGTATTTGATCCCTTCCGTTAATTCCACCCATCTCTCATGACCTGTCTAAAAAAAAGAAATACGAACTGACCTGTAAGTTGCCAGGTGCAATGAGCAGGATTTCGATAACTTTTTCCTCAAGGGGCTACCGATTGTGTTTTTGGCAGTAATGTCGCAATCTGCTTGGCCAATTTGCCTTTGTCGATAAGAATACAGACAATGCTGCTCGCGTCAACGTTTCATGCAGTGGTCACGCACTGAAAGAATTGCTTTATGTTACGTCCATAATTTGGTAGAAGGCAAACTGACATTGTTTTAGCTTGGTCTGTGATCTTATCGACCACGATATTCGTCGCCACAATGTTCAAAATATATTGTGGACTCATGAGGCGCAGGCGAGTGGGTCGACAACATTTTGACCACTGTGATGCGAGTATCGTTGTTGTTAAGAGTATAGACCACGCTTAACTACTATCAATTTGTTAAATAAGCGGCTTTGCCCTGAGGCGAAATCATACACGAGAGTCTGTTCATAAGTGGTCTTAAACGCGGTGTTAGATGGTCGGTATCTAACTTTTATTGAAAACCCTTACAATAGGATTATAAAATTTGGCTGCTAAATGTGACGAGCGTAGGAGATGGAAGGAAGAGTGAAAAGTGTCAGTTTGACATTGAAATAATGAAAAGCTGAAACGACCAGGACTGGTACCTGAGTATCACAACGAGAAGTCTGGTGTAATGAATTAGCATAAACATACAAATTGCGCAACAGCGCGACCCAAAAGTCATGTATAGCTGTTGTCTTCTGTGTATGTGTGCTAAAAATTCAGATAAAGTCAAATTTGTGCTTCAATTTTCTATATGAAATTGTCTCTTGAAGAAATGATCCGCACATCCTTTACATATGGCTTGGATAAAATAAATAAATTGAAAATATTTATCGCTTCTAAATATAGCGGCCATTTGTGGAATATCTTTAATTATCAAAACGCACTAACTTAATAATCTTCAAGTATGATGAGTAGAGTTAAATCTCTAGTCCGATATAAACCCGATGAAAACGACACCTTGAAGACGAAGGCTCAACAGACGGTTTGTATCTCATCAGTGATTGTACATTGAAATATATGGATTCAGACTCTAGGAAAACAACCTCCTCATAAAGAAACAATTTTTTATTCCTTTAGAAATTTAAGTTTTTTTTTTTACTTTATTTGACACAGCCTTCAATTATAGCTCAGCTTTATTTTGGTCACTAGCTGGAATGAACGGATTTTGACGACCTATCAAAGAGCAAGACTACTTATCTGTTGCAAGGTGAGACATGCAATGTTATATTTCACATACTTTTATCAATTGTTTACGAATCTAGTTATAAACATAAGTCCCACTGCGGGAATTTGCTGCGTTGGCGATTGTCAGTTGAATTCAGCTATGCTGTTCATCCTTTGAATGCGCTATGGAAACTTTATAACGTAAATATTAAAAACTTCAAGACAACATTTAATAAGAGTCAGTACCTTCACCCCGTCCAAACGCAACAATTTGATTTCGTCTGCACGTTCCTCGTGACAAGATTCTGTGGGATCCGTACACAAGTGAAGAAATTGTTCTTCAGCGAAGCACGGTTCTGTGAACTTGATCTTTCTACGTTTTGAATCTTTTGACCCACTCCCACAGAAGAAGAACCAGTATAGAACGAAAAGGAGACCTTGAACCTTCATAACTACCATCCAAAGGATTCAAAGTTATGTTTTTTCTTCAATTTACCTACATGGCTTAGGATAAAGAGTTTAATTATTAATTTTTTCGATTTAAGACAAAGAGAAAAGTTTTGTCTACCATGCAACATGTGGTTGTATTGTTGGCGATAACCGCTGGACGATGGGTCACCATCCCTTCTCGGGCAATCCTCGGGCATTTTACTGTCGTCCTTGGGTGGGGGTGGGAAATTTTAACCTCACCTGACTTTGGTGGGGATTTGAACCGAAAGTTTCGAGTCTCTCCAGATAAATTTCAAGTGTTTTAAGATATGGAGATGTTTAAGATGAAAAGTTCACTTTCGTGAATGGATGGCTCTGAAGAAAAGTTCTACAAGATCTAGGTTTTAAAGCTCGGTCAATGTGTAGAAATTCACGGTCGCTGATTTTGCCTTTTACAAAAAAAAAATTTGCAGGAAATGAACAAACCAATCTTTAAAAGTTCAAATGCCCAGGGGGAGGGGTTGCTAGGGGGGTGTCCCGAGGGGGGACGTTGAAGGTTCGAGCAAATCTTCACAAATTGAAGGTTCGAACTAAAGCAAAAAAAATTAGAGAGATCAAAAGAATCCCAAGCAATAAAAACCGTTGCACAGCAAGTATTGGTTTTTCAAGGAAGATAAATTTCTGAAATTTGTTTGTATGTACAAAGTACCAGAAAAAAATGCCGTGTCAACAAACATACCTTGCAAGCACCATGCAGTTACCGTTAACTAGATAAAGGTTACCTGTGTAGAACTAACACGGCCTGAAAGAAAACTTTCCTAATTAAATTTTTTTACAAAATTGAAAGAATTCTTTGCTTAATTTTGATATCGTTAACACTTGCTAAGACACATTCAACAACTCCCAGAAGATCGGAAGACATGACGATCGATCGCCGGTATTTGTTTTTTTTTAACTATGATACAACCACCACCGTACTTTTAACATCCCTATAGTTTATTTTTTATTTTAAAATACTTTAAAAAGAGGCTTCCTTTTCAGGCCTTTAACTACAGTGCGGTTTTTGAAAATTACGATCATATTGTGCGGTGTGCAAATTTGGATTTTACATCGCCTCTTCCCACGTGGTCTAGTGGTTAGGATTCGGCGCTCTCACTGCCGCGGCCCGGGTTCGATTCCCGGCGTGGGAATGGTTTTGCAACTTTCTCTCCTAGTTCCTTTTTGACTTTTGGTAAACTTACTTCTATAACCATATTGGTCTCAGTAAATCGACTAATGCATGAACTGGAGCGTTAGCATTTGCAAATTAAATGGCCATGAATTACTGACATAAACAAACGTTGTATAAGGTTTACAGAGTCTACCCTACTTAAACTAGGGTAATGAGATTAATTTGCAAAATTTTAAGAACGCTCCTCTTAACCTTTGTTATTAATGGCATTTTATTTATATATATTTTTTCAACACTGTCACTCTCAAGGCCACGGTCAACCAGTGTACTTTGCGCGCCGTCCGCCGTCATCGTTATCATCCAGAATTCAAACAACAACTGTACACTGTACCACGATACAATTACTATTCAAGGCTGAAATATTAGACTCAGAAATTATATTCTTGGACACGGAAGTGTAAAAAAGCGAGAATCGAGAGGGAATCGATCCTTGACGTCCACACGCATTACAAAGAGACGGAGACCTTCGAATACTTAAACTTTTATTCGAGTCATTCACCAGACACACAAAAAAAGGATTCGCAAGAGGAGAAGGGTTGCGCCTCTTCTAAATGAATTCTTCAAGTTCCACGTTTACTAAAATCATGCAGAGTTTCAAAATACACTTAAAGAATGGAGGATATCAAGAGGAAGTTTTGGAGAAATGTATCTCTAAATTTTGAACTTGTTGATTTCACCGGGAGAGAAAGATCACTCAAACTCACATGGAATTAGGATTTTGATCGATTGTAAACGTTTCCCCGTCTTAGACGTTTCTGTTTGACTTTCCTCCGAAATGTTGCATAGCAGGGCCTCTGCGAACTCGCTGCTGACGTTTTTGCCAAATCCTAAAGCTGTCTTTCGCTCATTCCATGCTTTTAAAATTGATCTAGTGAGCCATATGATTTGGCGGCTTTCCATCCCTGAAGGACGACCTCTTATCGATGGCTTCATTATTGCAAACGCGGAATGAAACGACGGAAATACGTAGCAAATAGACGATGGACACTAAGGGAAACTAAATGAAGGTAAAAAGGCCGGTTCTCGATCAAGATTAAAAAGAGTTAGTCGAATAATATTACACACACGGAAGGCTTTTCTTTTATGTGATACAGAAAATGCTGAGAATGGCCACCACCCCCGGTAATGCATCCTGGTTGAGCGTGGCCCTTCAAGCGGCAGTATAAACCATCATATAATTACCGTAGTTGTAGTATTAATTTAAT